CACCAGGTGTGTGGATCCCTGCTGCCAGGAGGTGACCAAGTGTGTCACCACGTGCCAAGATCCCTGTTGCAAGGAGGTGACAAAGTGCACCACAACCTGTGTGGATCCCTGCTGTCAAGAAGTGACCAAGTGCATCACCACATGCCAGGATCCCTGCTGCCAGGAGGTGACCAAGTGCATCACCACGTGCCAGGATCCCTGCTGCCAGGAGGTGACCAAATGCATCACCACGTGCCAGGATCCCTGCTGCGTGCCCAGCTGTGCCCCCAGGTGTGTGGATCCCTGCCGTGGGGGCGTCCAGGCCATCACCAAGTGCGTGGAGTCCTGTCCCACCCCCTGTGTCACCCAGGTGTCCTGTCCCACCCCCTGTGCCACCCAGGCCTGCCCCGCCTGTGGCCGGCGCTGCCCCCTCCGCTCCCGCAAATTCCGGGGGCTCTGAGGGGGCTCTGAGGGGGCTCCCAGGTGGATCCTGAGGGGACCCCGCCCTGCAGAGCCACTGCCCTGGGGGGTCTCCAGAGGCTGAGGACTGAGAGAGGTTTGTAAATCCCTGGACCTCTCCCTCACGTCCTTGTTTCCCCGGTGCCCTCCCTGCTCCGGGAGCAGAAAATCCTCCGCTGCTTTTCCTGACGTTCTGCACCGTTCCTGCCTTTCCTTGTACATGTAACCGAGTGATTTTTGTGCCCCCGGGAATATTTCCTGGGAGAAAGAGCCTGTAACTCCTCGTTGCCCTGATCTTGGTGGAGGAATGTCCTTGTTCGTTGTTCCTTTGTCACCTTCCCCTTCCCACGTGCGAATAAAACAAACGGTCTCGGCACCACCCCGGTGTTCCCTTCACTTCTGTATTGCCCTGGACTCCTGTTTCATCCTTTTGATTTCTTCCTAAAATCCCCATACCTGCAGAGTGGCAGCTCCCTCTGGAAAGCTTGGAAAGGTCTAAGGCAGCAGCTGGAGACCTGAGACCCCTCTGGGATGAGAGAATCAAGGAACATCCCGAGTTGGAAGGGACCCACACAGATCATCCCAGTCCAGCTCCTGGCCCTGCACAGGACATCTCAAAATCCCACCACACCCCTGAGAGCTTTTGGAAATGCTCCTGGAGCTCTGGCAGCCTTGGGGCCGTGCCCACTGCCCTGGGGAGCCTGGGCAGTGCCCAACAAACCACCCTCTGGGGGAAGAATTTTCCTGATGTCCAACCTGACCCTGCCCTGGCACAGCTCCAGCCCTTCCCTGGGTCCTGTCCCTGCTCCTCCTTGGGATATATCCCAAATATCCCAGCTCACTGCTGGGACAGGGGGTGCTGCACATCCCGAGGAATCCCCCTCCCGTGGGTTAGGAAAGGCTCTGGAGCCCCAAAGGGGGGTTCCCAAAGTGCTCCAAAGCTCCCATCGCTTCCTCCTCGGCCTCAAATCTCCTGGAAAACTGTTCACCCGGGAGCCAGGAACGTCCCCGGGGGCTCCAAACCTCCCTGTTACAGAGGAGGGTTGTGCTGGGCAGGTTCTGTGCTCTGCAGGTTCTGTGCTCTGCAGGTTCTGTGCTCCGCAGGTTCTGTGCTCTGCAGGTTTTGTGCTCCGCAGGTTTCCAGGCAGGGAGATGGGCCGGGGCAGGGTTGGGGTGAGCAAATCCCTCCTGGAATGCTGGAGGGAGGAGCGCCCAGCGCGGGGGAGGTGGCAGACAGGGGTGTGCCCGTCTGGCAGCACCCACCGGCTCCTTTTTGAGGACACCCCGGGGCACGGGCTGGTGCCTCCCCGGGAATTGTCACCGTCTCACCTCGGGAAGAGGAGCCAGCCAGGAGTGGGAAGTGACAAATCCCACCCACGGGACGCGGTCTGGGGACATCTGTCCTCACACAAACCATCCCACCCCCACAGTTCCACTTCCATCCTCCTCTCTCAGCAGGTTGGGGAGAACCAGCATAAAAAAACCACAAACCACAAATTCTCCCCGTGCAGGTTTAATTTTACCCCAGAACTCCTTTAAAACTCACTGAAAGGTTCTGTGCAGGCAACAAATTCCTTTTCATCCTGCTCCCAAATCAAATGGAAGAACCCTCTGGGAATAAAGGAACTGCGGGTGGGGAAAAATGGCACCCAGATAAGATTCTTCCCTCCTCATGGCTTGGTGTTTGCATGATATTTAATCCTTCAGGTTTTAATTCACCTCAGCTCAGCAGAGAGCTGAGACTTCATTTCCAGGTGGGGCTGGAGGAAGGAAAACAGGGAAACAGGGAAACAGGGATCCCTGGATCAGCACCTGGACGTTCAAACTACACCCATGGAACTGTCCCAACAGGGAGGAAACTGCAGCTCAGAGTGAGAAAACATGGTGGAATCAGTTCTTGTCCTGTCAGGCCACGTGCTCTGAGCTCTGAAAGGTGTTTCCTCGGAGATCAAAACACATTTTATCCAGTAAAACACAAACAAATCCCAGGGAAAACTGGATTTCCTCCCCAGAACACCGAGGAAATCCAAGCAGATCTCTTTGAGAGTCCGAAGGCAAAGGATAAAAGGGCTGAGGCATTTTTTCCTGACCACAGGTAGTTCCTCTTCCCGAGGTTTAATTAGCCAGGTGCTCGTTTATCATTCCTGGCCGAGCACTCACCTGCCCCAGTAAACAGGAAAAGGGGTGGATGGGGCCGGGCTGGGGCTCCTCATCCTCCTCCCCAGGAGGGGTGAGCTCATCCCCTGAGCCAACAGTCCCTGGGGCAGGGGGCAGGTGAGCCACAGGTGAGCCACAGGTGAGCCACAGGTGAGCCACTCGTGCTCATGTGAGGCCGAGGGCACCCCCCACTCAGCCCCCTGGCATCCCAGCTATGCCCAGAGCCAGAGGAGGGCTGGACAGCAGCCCCGGCTGGAATTGGGCTGGACAGCAGCCCCGGCTGGAATTGGGCTGGATCAGCAGCCCCGGCTGGAATGGGGCTGGATCACACCCTCCCACCCTGCCCTGACAGGGGAAAGTGGGGTGTGAGGAAGCCCCAGATTGTAGGATTGGGGATGGGGCACAGGGGGGACTGGATGATCCTGGAAGTCTTTGCTGATGGCACAGAGCAGGGAAACCCCTGCAGGAGACTCTGGGGTAAACCAAGGGCTGTGTAAAACCCAGATGGATCCTATTTTAAAGCAAATTGTTCAGCAGTTCATGAAATAGGTTTGGTTTGTTTGTTTTTTTCCCCTGGTAGAAAAGTGCCTCCCCCTTTGGTAGCTCCTGGTGGTGAAACAAAAAGAGCTCCTCGGATTCTTGGGAGCCAGAAGTGTTGGCAAGGTGATGTTTTGTGGGGTTTTTCAGAAAGAAATGCTCCTGGGCAGCAGAATTCGGTGCTCAGGGGGCAGTTCTGCTGCAGCAGCAGACCAAGCTCTGGCCACCACATGAGGGCCACCAAAGGGTGTTGCTGTGGGGTCCTGACTCACTGACATCAGTGTGACCAGCCAAAGGAGCAGATTGCTCATGAATTTAATAGAGACCCACAAATAAGGGTCAATTAAGGGGTAACAATCCAGCCCTCTGATGTTCCCAGCTGTTACAGACGCAGATAAATTGATGTGTCCTCTCAGAAGGGGATTTCTTGCCCATCAAATGTAACAACGGGGTGTCAAATAACTGTGGGAAGGGAGGGTGGGACCGGTCCCGGTGGTGCTTTTGGAGCCCAAGGAGAGCACGAAGAGCTCTTCAAGCAGGACTTTGAGATGCTCCTCAGCGAGAAAACTGCTGGAGGCTGCAGGGAGGGCACCTGGAAGTGCTGGAGGACGATTTCCTCACCCAGCAGCTCGAGGAGGAGAAGGTGGGAAGGGATTAATCTGCCTAAATATTCAACCCCTAAACCCGAGCTGGTTCCCTGCTCGTTTTGCAGCCTGTTTGATGCAGCCACGGGTGTTTCCCCACCCCTGACTCAGGTGTTGGGGACAAGCAAACCACACTCTGCCAGTCCCAGTTTTATTCCTGCCATCCCTAAAAACCCCCCCGGGGCGGAGGAGCCTCGAGGGGAGGAGGAGGAGGAGGAGGAGGAGGAAGAGCACGAGGGGGGCTGAGTCTGTGGAAAGGCTGAGCCACCCCGAGAACGTCAGGAGCAGATCCCGCAGCTCACGTGGGCCCAGGGCAGGAATTCCAGGCTTTCCGTGTCAGCACGGGGAAGGATCCGGGGCTGACTCCTGGAATTCTCCATCTGGACTCCTGGCCTGGGGTGTAAACAGGATGCTGAAGGGGCTGGCTTGGGTTGGCTCGTTGGGTTTTTCTCCCATCTGGCATTTTTTGCAGGGCCAAGCGTGGTCTGGGACACACACACCCCACTCCACCTCTGGGATTGGAATATCTGGGAGAAACAAGGATTTTTTTTCTGTGCTGTGGAGCCCAGTTTTTACCAGCAAACCCCTTCAGTGTGTTAATGTGGCATCCTGGGCCTGAACCCCACCTAAGCTGGAGCATTCTACACTCCTCTGGCAGCCAAAAATGCCTCTAAAACAAGGGATACGTTGCCTTGAGGGGTGTGATGAGGTTCTCAGGGTACCTGCAGGTGTGTCCCTGCTGGAATGGCCAAGCATGGATGTTGTTACTCCATGGGAGGAGTGGGTTGGGTGAATGAACTGGTTTAAGAGGCATCAAAGGAGCAGGAACTGGTGGGAGCAGTGGTGGCCCACTGGGTTGGGTGAATGAACTGATTTAAGAGGTATCAAAGGAGCAGGAACTGGTGGGAGCAGTGGTGGCCCACTGGGTTGGGTGAATGAACTGGTTTAAGAGGTATCAAAGGAGCAGTGGTGGCCCACGGGGGGAATCAGCTGCTCCTCTCCATGAGAATCGGGCTGGGATATTTCTCAGAGTAAATCAAATTAATTGTTCCCTAATAACAACCACTGGGAAAAGCCCAAAGGCGTCATCCAGAGGTTTATGGAAATCAGGGGGCTGAGAACAGCCCCTCGCACCGAATCAATTAATTCCTCACCTGCTGGTTTTTAATTACCGTCACTCCCGGTGGGAACCACCTGACCCCGGGAGGGGGTGAGGGGGCAGAGGAGCCTGCTCAGCATCACATGCTCTTCCTGCAGGAGGGTTTCCCATCCAAAAATGAGGATGTGAGCAAATATGCCGAGCACGTGGAGGTGGAGCCCGGGGAGGCTGTTTGTGGTCGGTGTCCATCCCCCTGGGCTGCCCCGTTTCCGGAGCCGGCGCCGCTCGGGCCGTATAAAAGCTCGGCCTTGGGATGCTCCCACCACTTCATTTGGCTCCTGCCTCGCTCCCCTGCACGCCTGAACTGGTGAGTCTCTCTGGGCTTTATCAGGGAGCTGATGGGCTCTTGGTTGCTGTGGTCAAGAGGGTGTTTTTCCAGAGCTTTGCCTGTGGGGTTTCTCCTCCAGGACTTGTCTCGGGACTGGGGAGAGGATGTTCCACTCTTGTTTAGGGTTTGCTCTGCCTTAAGTAGCTTGCAAATGTCCTGCCACCTCCTCAGAAGCT